GATTATAGAAACATATCTATAAATAGTGTTACTGAAATATTGATTATAGAAACATATCTATAGATAGTGTTCTGAAATATTGATTATAGAAACATATCTATAAATAGTGTTCTGAAATATTGATTATAGAAACATATCTATAAATAGTGTTTTGAAATATTGATTATAGAAACATATCTATAAATAGTGTTCTGAAATATTGATTATAGAAACATATCTATAAATAGTGTTTTGAAATATTGATTATAGAAACATCTATGAATAGTGACAAACAAATAAAGACAAACGTTGAAATATTGGTTATAAATATACAAATGTGGACAAAACGTTGAAATATTGGTATGAATACAGAAATGAAGACGAAACGTTGAAATATTGGTATGAATCCACAAATGAAGACGAAACGTTGAAATATTGGTATAAATACACAAATGAAGACGAAACGCTGAAATATTGGTATAAATACACAAATGAAGACAGAACTTTGAAACATTGGTATAAATACACAAATGAAGACAAAACATCCTGAACGGTTTTAAACCTCTAAAGTGTCAACCGTTTATTTTTAGTTACTTGTGTATCCAGTATCCCGAATCATAATAATCCACTGTGAATCAAATAGTAGACTCCTCACGAATCTTCCGAAATTTGCATATAACGTAATTAATGGGTTGCTTATATTTAATGCGTCTGCTTAGAATGAATATTCTACACACACAAAAATCAGTTATTAACCGGAAAATTAGAAACAAGTTATTAAACTTGAATAGCGAACGTTTCAACAGCAGTTAGTAATTAAAATAAGATGCTAAAAAATAACCTTAGATATACAGGTGTGATGACATTTTATCCAGTAACGCTGTCCCAGTGCATCAGTTTCAAAAGGTATCATTCTTTTAGCGCCCACGGGAATACTTGTCATACTTGACATTTTGGTAGGCTATTTCTAGCAATTTGAACTTCTCCTTACCCCACGGAAAACATTCCAGTCATAATGGTGGGGTCACCACTAGTCGAAAATAACTACGTTTTATCAATAGGACAACAACGTATATCAAAAGATGGGCTTCACCATGGTGTATGTCGTAACCAACTATTGTATTTAATCTTTTATAACCTGTATTTCAACGTTTCTACTACATTTGTGTATTTATAGCCAATATTTCAACGTTTCTTCTGTTTGTGTATTTATACCAATATTTCAACGTTTCGTCTTCATTTGTGTATTTATACCAATATTTCGTCTTTATTTGTGTATAAATACTAATGTTTCAAAGTTTCTTCTACATTTGTGTATTTATAAATAATATTTCAACGTTTCGTCTTCATTTGTGTATATATATATATACCAATGTTTCGTCATTTGTGTATTTATGCCAATGTGTCGTCGTCATTTGTGTATTTATACCAATGTTTCATGAACAGTCCTAGGCCTTTAAAGTGACAATAGTTCTTTGTTAGTTACTTTTATATCCGTGTATCCTGAACAGTCCTAGGCCTTTAAAAGTGACAATAGTTCTTTGTTAGTTACTTTTATATCCGTGTATCCTGAACAGTCCTAGGCCTTTAAAGTGACAATAGTTCTTTGTTATTTACTTTTATATCCGTTTATCCTGAACAGTTCTAGGCCTTTAAAAGTGATAATAGTTCTTTGTTAGTTACTTTTATATCCGTGGTTTAATAATGCTACAATGTTTCTTTACCGAACGGCTCGATAATCGTTTCGCTATCAAGGTGGAATAACGCTTAATAATTCAGCAACCTTTTAATTGGTGAATAGTTTGCGAAATAGTATAATAGTTAATACTAAAAATATTAAACATGTGAAAAGATAACCAATGTTAAAAAACGTTAAATATGTGACGTGATAATATACGTCATCAAATGTTGAAATCCTTTCAAATTATCTAAGAACTTAGAGAAGTAATAAAATCAGAGCTTCAGTTTTAGTGAAATTCGTTGTAAAATATCATCCAGTAATGGTGTCTTTTAATACACCTTTAAACGGAACAGCAGCTTTGAGTACAACATTGGTCGTATTATTTTTATCATTTTCTTTTTCCTAACAGCTAAGCTTTCGCAGTAGTTTTTAGATAGATCATTAAATTACTTCTTCATCGCCCTAAAGCAATAATAGAGTAAATAATGTAACCGTAGAGTTTATAAATAAGAGTTATCACGCTAAAACCTTCTCAACCTTATAGATCTCTCGCTTCTTGCTGTGATTATTAGATTATAAACAACGTTGCTACGTCATCTTTTACGTCTAGACCATCGCCTGCCTCATCAGTTATTTATAAACAAGGGAGTATAAACCTATCTCAACTTACAGGACGTATACGTTTTATCTCATAAAGCTGCCATATATTATCTTCAGTTTCAGCTACTAGATAATGTTTGTGGGAAATTTTACACAGTTATCTCAATTTTCACAAAGAACTGACACAAAGTTTTCAAAACAGATGTGAATTTGTTATATTGTTTATATCGAAGGGCACCAGATATCCTGTTACATATAGGTAACTTTTTAGGAATCATTTTCTATAAAGCGATTGTCGTATAGGTGCGCGTTTTTGACGTCATTTTTACACGATCTAATCGTAAATAGAAAAACTCTTCTGAATATTTCTCCAGACGATTTTCAGCTTAGCTTTCTGTTTTTCTAGGCAAAGCGTTTGTCTCTTCACACACTTTATAGGCAAAGAATCTGTCTGTCCATAACTTTACAGAAGTTGGGTCAACATCCTAATAATCATGCGTGAATTTGAACTTTAATCTTTAAGTTCACTAACTGGAAAAGAGAGATACAGCTCGGGTAACCCTAAGCTAATTTAATCATTCTTTATTTGGCTAAACGTTTAGCTATACGTTCCAAATTCACGAGTTGTCATTCCTTTATTTATCGGCTTATCTTAAATGATTCTCGGCTTCTAATAACACATCACATTTTTTTTTTTACTTTTATATGCATGTAACCTGAACAGTTTAAGGCCTCTAAAGTGGCAATAGTTATTTTCTTTTACTTTTATATCCTTGTATCTTGAACAATTTTAGGCCTTTAAAGTGCCAATAGTTCTTTGTTATTTACTTTTATATCCGTTTATCCTGAACAGTTCTAGGCCTCTAAAGTGACAATAGTTCTTTGTTATTTACTTTTATATCCGTTTATCCATTATACCGACTCTCTAGTGGAACGATTATCAAGCCGTTCAGTAAAGAAACGTTGTAGCATTGTTAACTGCTATACCGACTCTCTAGTAGAACGATTATGAAGCCGTTCAGTAAAGAAACGTTGTAGCATTATTAAACTTTATACCGACTCTCTAGTGGAACGATTATGAAGCCGTTCAGTAAAGAAACGTTGTAGCATCGTTAACTGTTATACCGACTCTCTAGTAGAACGATTATCAAGCCGTTCAGTAAAGAAACGTTGTAGAATTATTAAGCATTATACCGTCTCTAGCAGAACAATTATAAAGCCGTACAGTAAAGAAACGTTGCAGAATTATTAAGCGTTATATCGTCCAGTTAGTGAAACAATATTTTATGAGAAGTATTAATGTATTACGTTGAATCCGTAAATCATTTACTGAATTAACAATTAATTGAAATTCCTTGTAATAAGAATCAAGTTAAAACCGTGTGATAAACTTCGTAGTTATCACACACGATATAGATGTTTCGTCCAAGTGGCACCACCACGTGAATGATAACGAAACTGAATAACGTAGTTATCACACACGATATAAATGTTTCATCCAAGTGGCACCACTATCTGAATAACGTAGTTATCACACACGATATAAATGTTTCGTCCAAGTGGCACCACCATCTGAATAACGTAGTTATCACACACGATATAAATGTTTCGTCCAAGTGGCACCACCATCTGAATAACGTAGTTATCACACACGATATAGATGTTTCGTCCAAGTGGCACCACCATCTGAATAACGTAGTTATCACACACGATATAAATGTTTCGTCCAAGTGGCACCAC